ACTAGCACCAGAAAGAGTGTTTACTACAAATCACCATGAACAAGAGCAAAAGGGCATGATTTTTAACGTGATCTTAAATTGGAACATATTTTAATTTCTAAAAGAAGAAGGAAATAATATTGAGGTAGTGGAAATTAGGATGTTAGAACCTAAAGTGCCAAAATTTTATCTTATCCTTGCATTTTCTAGAGGTCCAACTTGGAAAGGCTCGTAATTCTGTTGTTTTTCTAGGTTCCTCATGCAGGATAAATAGGCCATCAACTTCCCTAGCACTGCCAATCATCTTCCCCCTCTGATCCTGAAACAAGCAATGAGTAGGAAAACTTTTGAATTCACAGTAAAGTATGTTCTATGTTTGCTGATAGAGATTAAATTGCTTGATAAATTAGGAGCATGCAACACTGAATTCAACGTTAGAGTTCTTGAAACCAAAACTGAACCCTTTCCAGCAACAGAAGTTGAACCATCAGCTATTGTGAGTGTTTGATGACCAGAACATGGAATGTAAGATGGAAATACCTTTGATGAACCTGTAATATGGTCTGTCCCTGCATCTCTGATCCAGGGGTCTGATTTTGTAGTTTTAGAATGGAGTGCAGCAAGCTAGTTACCTGTTTGAGATAGATTTGCACAAGATAAATGATAGGAAGAAAGTGTCTTTTGATTCATTAACCTACATATGTGCTCTAGCTGATTCTTGGTGAAAATTGGTTGTTCCAGAGATCCTGCGTGGCTTGAGTCATGAGATTTTTGCATATCAGATGATGCATGGAGTCCTCGGTTTGCACTGTCGGGTGTAGAACTGCCTTTACCCCCAAAAGTAACTTTTCTTCAACCAAGACCATTTTCCGACTTCATCTCACGTTTGGCAGCAGCAAGAGCAGAATATTCTGTTTCTTCTTACATTATTGAGCTAACTAAACAGGAAAGAAGGCTGGAATTGATCCTTACAAAGGCTAATCGTCGAAAGATAAATCTTAGAACCCTGGATGGCTCTGATACCATGTTGATTTTGGGGAAAATATTTCTTATATTGAGTCAGTAGAGTTGCACAGTAGATAAAGGAAAAAGACAGCTATTCTATCCTATTTTACAGCTATATTTGTCTCTTTCATTGATGATTGTACTTGAGTATGTTGGGTATATTTTTTAAAATCCAAGGGTGAAGTACTGCATGTTATTCCAAAATTCTCAAAAATGATTGAAACACAATTTCATGTACGGGTTAAAGTTATTCATTCTGACAATGGTCGTGAGTTTGTAAACCAAACCCTTAGGAACTTTTTCTCGACTCAGGGCATTGTCCATCAAACCACTTGTGCTTACACACCCCAGCAAAACGGCATCGCAGAGCGGAAAAATCGACACATCCTTGAAGTAGCTCGGGTGTTATGTTTTACTATGCGTGTTCCAAAACGTTTTTGGGCTGATGCGGTAACAACTGCTGTCTTTCTCATAAATCGCATGCCTTCTCGCATTATTGACCTTCAAACACCCTTAAACGTGTTGTCTCAGTTTCACTCTATTCCCTCTGTTCTGAATATCTGTCCAAAAATTTTTGGTTGTGTGTGTTATGTCCATGTGCACTCTCATCTCCGAGATAAATTTGATCCTCGTGCCCTGAAATGTGTCTTTCTTGGCTACTCAAGCTCTCAGAAGGGCTATAAATGCTTTCATCCCCCTACGGGGAAATACTATGTTTCTATGGATGTGGAGTTTTGTGAATCAGAATCTTTTTTTTCTGATGACGTGTCGTTAGTTCCTCTTCAGGGGGAGATTAGTAGTAAGGAAGAGGAACGAGTGTGGTTAGATGAAAAGAAAGTGTGGATTTCTGGAAATGAGGGAGAACCCCAAGTTGAATCCCAAGTTGGAAATGAGGGAGAACCCCAAGTTGAATCCCAAGCTGAACATCCAGTTGAGGATGATAGATCACCTCGCCTGTTCCAAAAGTGTTATACAAGGAGAAACTCAGACAATGCTTGCCCTCCTACATTACCCCCTTCAGACCCTGATAGCCCTCCAATTGATACTACAGTGCTATCTGATTCTTCGGAGATTGAAAATGAGGTACCTACTTTGCTTACTCCTACTACTCCTATCTCTGTTTTTGATTCTGATCCTGCAACTTTAGATATTGCTAATACTCAGGATAGGAGATATCCTCTTCGAGTCCATAATAAGCCTGATAGGTTTGGTTTTT